GAGTTTGTCTCTCTGGTTCTCAGAGCTTGAGATAGGTACTATCTCTTCTGTCATGTGGGTCCTGGGTATGTATTGCTGTAGAACGAGCCTGTCCTAGTTTGTTTCTCCATTGCTGTGACAAAACACTCTGACCAATACCAATTTGAGGAGGAAAGGGTTTATTTAGCTTACATATCCTGGGTCACAGTTCATCTAGGAGCCCAAGGTAGCAACTCAGGGCAGGAACCTGGAGGCAGGAGTTGGAACACAGGCCATGGAGGAATGCTGCTTACTGGCTTGCTCCCCTGGCCCGTGCTCAGCCTGCTTTCTTATGCAACACGGACCCACCTGCCTAGGGGTGGCACCACCCACAGTGGGCTGGGCCCTCCCACATCACTCAACAATCAAGAGGATGCCCCACAGACATGACCACAGGCCAGTCCAATGAAGGCAATTCCCCGATTGAGGGTCCCTTAACCCAGGTGTGTCAAGTTGACACTAAAGCTATCCAGCACAGAGCCTCTTATGGAAGGAAGCACCATCCATCTCATTGATGCTGTTAGACTTCAGCCTTTGCTAGACCCCCACCCCCACCTCTGAAATACTCTGATTTTATACGGGTCAGCAAAGAAAATATTTCTAATATGATTACAGTCAAGGTGTTTTGAATCTTATTCTCTCTCCTCCCATTAAACATATTTCAAGAATATAAGGGATTGGAGAGACAGCTCAGTGGTCAGGACCACTTATTGCTCTTGCAGAGGACCAGGGTTTGATTCCCAATTCCTACATGGAGGCTCACAACCATCTAGTTATAACTGCAGTTCTAAGGAATCAGACACCTTCTTCTGGCCCCTCAGGCATTGTGTACAAGTTAATTTGCATTCAGGTGTTTGCATTAAATATTGATAGGGCAAGGGAAAGGTAGGTTCCCTTTTATTCACATGTAGTTTTCATGGCTGGCTGGGCTTTTGGGGGGCTGACTCTGGGCAGGGGGAGGAGGGAAAGAGCAGTGTAATCCCTTAAATAGCTTAAATTCAGATATTAGTACTGCGCTCTGACACTGTAGCCCAGAATGTTAAGAGCAAGTCCTAGGCACTAAAAGATACGAATGTTTATAGCAGTAACCAGAGAACATCTGGTTCACCCCCTTTTCCTCTTCTTCCTCTTCTTCCTCTTCTTCTTCTGCTTCCCCCTCCGCCTCCTCCTTCTCGTTCTTCTTCTTTAAATGTAGCCCAGGCTGGTTTCAAATTTGCTGTGCAACTGAGGATGACCTTGAACTTCTGAGCCTCCTGCTTCTACATCCCCAGTGCTGGAATTGTAGATATGCACCACTATGCTTGGTTTCATGCAGTGCAGGGAATGAGTTTTATGTGGAGCTTCATGCTTGCTAGGAAAGCAGTCTACTCTTGGGTGACCTATCTTTAACCAAAGGAATACCCTTATACTTTAAAAGCAATAATCTGAGGTTAATCTCAATGGGGGGCAGGAAAGTGAAGAAAGAGCACTGCAGCAGGAGGGTCCACATTCAGATACCTAAAATTTGGAAGTGGCTATGAACCCCAGGGATGTGCTCTGCCTGGAGGTAGAGAGACACTGTCCTTAGCCCACACAGTGGGCAGCTCAGGGCTGTCTGTATTCATCTACAAAACAACCAAGAGGAGAGTATGGTCTGGGAAGTCCCGTCTGTCGTCCTTCAGCTTTGGAAGGTTAGGAAGTTGGCTCCTGTGAACGCTGCTGCTGACCTGAGGGAGCCGGCTCTGTGGCTGGTGTGGGCTTTGTGATTAGCCAAGAGCTTCCCAGAGGGATCCCAGCAAGCAAGTACCCAGTTAGGAGAGGGTTTCATGGCTTCTTTCTCTTTCCTTTGAGAAAAGGCTGTCTGAGACCCTTGAAACTCACATCACTTCAGCAACCATTTTACTTAACCTTCCTGAGTTGGTTGGCTTTTGTCCCCCATGTCTAAGCCTGCCCAGGTGTTATCATGTATGAGAGAACCTTGTAAATTTCCTTTGTACCCTTCCAGCCCACCCTGCACTGACCATAGTGGCCTGTGGGTGACTGCAGTCTTTGCTACACGGAAATGCCCCTTGGGCATCTTTTTAAAGCTTGGATACACAAATGATACATGACACAATAAAATCAGAATTTCTAAGAGTGGATCCCAGGCTTAGGAGTGTTTAGGACTTCCCAGTGTCTCTAATGCTGCCAAAGTTGAAGGCTGGCATGGAGTTGTGAACACACCCAGATTGTCTGGAATTGAGTTTCTACTCTGCTGCTGGTTGTACACTTGAGCTAGTCATTTCCCATTCTCCATTTCAGTTTCTTCATCTGTAAAATGGGAATAACAAGAGCAGCAGTAGACACAGTGTGAGGATTAAGTGATTAGAAGGTGGCCAGCACAAGCCAGTACTCAACATTCTCTGGGTATTTGTGATTTGTGCCCAGGAGCACATCTTAAGATGGGCCTTGACAAGGGAGGCAGGTAGGATGGGTGAGGAACCCCAGCAAGGGTCTCCAGACACAAGGGTAAGGACTAGAGGTGTTTCTTCTAGGAAAGAGCTATTGTGGTGATGGCTCCAGATTCCTATCAGAAGGGAAAGGAATGAAGGAACATGGCTGTTTGTATAGGGCTGTGAAGGGAAGAACAAAGGCTCAGGAGCAGAAGGCTTCTAACAGGACCACTCATCTGCAGTGAGATGGACTGTGTCATGGGGAACAAGTTCTCAGGCTTTGGGCTGTCCAAGTGGTAGACAGGCAGTGTTGGAGTAAGTGTTATAGGAAAGATTGGAAGGGTCCTGAGTGACCCCCTAAGGCCTTTTCTAAGCCCACAGCTGGTATGGACTGAGCTTTAGTCATTGTCAAATGCTCTCTTGAAGAGGAGTCCAGAGGAGTATCCAAGAGGGGACCAAGACCTAACAAGGCAGAGTCACTCCTGTCTTCATGTGGAGGTTTCAGTTGGCTGGCCAGTGGAATCTGGCCTAGCAGACCTGCAGTGGGAGCTGATCACAAGGCAGTCTTAGGGAAGGTCTAGGCCTATTTGGTGTAAATAGAGGTCTGAATGCCTGGAGGTCATTTTTACTGAGTTCTGGAACACACTAGATGCCTTGGAGTCCTAGAGGACACTTTAAAAATCAGGAGAGAAGAGCCTGGGCACTTCCCCACCCGCAGCTCTGGGCTATTCTCCACCCGGTGAGCTCTGTCTCACTCACTGTGAAGATGGCTACCATATATGCTGGAAAAAAATTTATGAATTCCGTTCTACTTGTTTTTCTTCTTGAGGGGTGGTGTGGGGCCCTAGTTTGACACTGCTATGGATCCTGTTTCTACAAAACCTGTATCCACAGATTCAACCAACCACAGATTGAAAATAATGCAAAAACAAACAAAATAAAGAAATGAGTAAATCTGTACTGAACGTGTACTGACTTTTTTCCTGTCATTATTCTCTCAGCAACGCTGTACAATAGCACAGGCTTTGTACTGTATTAGATGATTTAAAGTCTACAGGATGATGTGCGTAGGTTCTAGGCATTGCATTGTGTGATGTGATTTAAAGTCTACAGGAAGATGTGCGTAGGGTCTGTGCAGGTGTTACATCACTATATCTAAGGGACTTGAGTATCCAGAGTTCGGTATCGTCTCATTGTACTGTAGCCAAGCTGTCACAGATACTGAGAAATGGTTATAATTCACCAGACATCAAGCTGGCTTCCCTTTTCATAAGGGAAGCCTCCCTTCCGTGTTTGATGACCATTTGGCCACTTCCCCTGTGTGCTTGGATGACTTCAGCGTGAGTGCATCCTTGTCCTGTGGGTCCCCGCCCCCATCTTGTTTTGCTTGCAGAGCACTGGGTCCTTCTCTTTGTCCCTCACTTCCTTGACGTCTTCATCCTCACATCCTCCTTGCTCAGTGCATAGCCACGCCCTGAACCTTATTGCCTGCAGGAGGCTCTGTCTCCTAGATTTTCATCTCTGAAGAGCCCTCCGCAGCCACAGCCCCCCGCGCCTCCACCATTCCCACGCATTCCGACTCAGTCTCCTGATGGCCCCTCCCTAGATTTTAGCATCTTGGATTCATGCTGGATGTATCTGGTCCCTCCCTCTCTCTTGGAATTCGGATTCCTTGGTGAGCTTGTTTGGCAAAGTTCTCAAAAGCAACTCTATTTCTTACCCTTTGACCTTCTGCCGAGTCTCTTAGGACAAACCTTTCATCTCTTCCGGTTTCCAAACTGCTGAAACCTGTTGAAAAGACCTGGGCCCCCAGCAGTAACTGGACCCTCCGTGCGTTCCTGCCTCAACTTTCCTGGAGCCCGCAGGCATCTCCCTTCAACTCCATTTTTAGCTCCCTATCAGATTCCAGTAACAGCTGCTCGGAATCCTTTCCACTCTGCTCCAGCCCTAGCTGACCCTGCTGGCCTCCTCTCTCTGGAACAGAGGATAAAACCATCCCAACACTCTGCTGAGATGTCTTTCTTCCTTTTTCTTTAAAAACAAGGCTAATTTCTCTTTCTCTTGTTCTTTCATCCTGCCTGGGGAGAAATGGTCCTTGTTTTTTCCAGGCTGAGGCAGAGATCTTGCTGGCTGGTCACCTCTTCTAATTTTCAGCCCCCCTTTCCTCTAACCCTTCAGTCTTGGTCTTCCTCTAATTTCCTCCATCTTAAGAAACAACCAGAAATAGAGCCCTTTCTTGGTCTTTCTCCTCCCTCGCCCCATTGTCTAACATCTGTAATCTCAATCCTCTCTTATCCTTGTTCCCCACCAACTAGCCACATTGAACTGGTATCAGTCGCTAAAATATGCCTTGCCATATCTCCCTTCTCTGGGCCACATGCAGCCTTGGGGAGCAGAAAGCACAGGTGTTAGAGTCAGCCACGCAAGGGTTAAAATCCTGGCCCTGTACCACGTTTCACAACCCTGACCCTCACTTGGAACGTCTTCCAACTTCTCAAAGTTCAGTTTCCTCCTCTGAAAAATAGAAGCAGTGGCACTTAATTTGTTGGGTTGTTGTGCATATAAAAAGAAATGCTCAACATCTAGCTTATGTCCAGCCCTTGCTCTAGCTGCTGCTGATTCCTATGTGTGCTGTGCCTCTGCCTTCTTCTGTCTCCCTGATGAATGTCCATCCACCGCCAAAGCCTAGTTATATCTCTCCCTTTCCAGTGGCTGGGCCCTGTCCTGGTTACTTTTCTTTCTGAACTGCATTCCTTTAATTCAGCAGATGCTGTGGCCCACCTTTTATCAAGACCATTTGTACACAGTTGTCTGGCTGCTTACGAAGTGGAGAGCCTATGGAGGAAGGAGTGAGTACCAAAGTTACCTCTGGATTGTTCTAGTGTACTTGTCAAGGGTCTTGCAAATAATAGCTTCCTATTCAAATGTGATGTTTAAGAGAATTTCTTACTGCTAGGTATATCTTAATAACCTAGGCAAATACAAAAACACCAACAAATACATAAGCTGAGCTGTCTAAAACCATACTCCCTACCCTTGTAGAATTGAAAAAACAAAAAGGATTTCCAATCCAAAGCTCTGGAAAGAACTCCTGAGCAAGGACATCAGGTTGGGCCGGAGTTTGGGGCTTCTTAAGCTATGTGTGGGAAGTATTTCCCTTCCGGATGCTAAGGCCCTGTTTTGGCAAGTAGTTAGGGTAATCCTCACCTGATGGATCTGAGCTCAGTTCTTGTAGGGTAGAATGAAATGGTCAGATAGCTGAGAGCTGAGATTCCATCCAGCTTGAACAAACTAAGACTCAGGGAGCACATGCTCTGAGTGTGATGCAATTGCAGCAAGTTTATGACAGGGCCAAGGATGACTGTCATGGTTGTGCTGTAACAAAAGTTCTTTCAGGGGATTCCTTTAGCAGGTGCTGTAGTTCCTTTATTTGCTCATGAAATAAATATTTAGCATGGCAATGCAGACCTGGTTTGTGTGAGGTACTGGGAACACAGCAACGAGTCCAGTTCAGTCTCCCATAGCTGGAGTAGCCTGGGCAGGTTCCTTGTGGGAAGGGAAGGCGGATGCATGGAGATATGCTGTAGGCTGGACGGCTGTCTGGGCTTAGTGGCTGTCAGAGAGGACAGTGTGAGGGACAGCCCTCAGCAGCAGCTGCACTTGCCCCTCCTGGCAGGAGACTGCATGTAGTTCCCCTTTTCAGGAGGCTCTGGGCTTGTCACATGATCCATGGGCAGTCTGGAGTGCCTCCTGCTGTTCATAGCAGCTTCTCTCCATCCTTCTTTCAATCTAGAGGATTTACAAAGGTTTATACTATTAGGAAAATCTCAACAGCATGCTGTATGGGAGAAATGTTTTTCTTCTGTCTATATACTTTTAGTCTGTAAGGTCTTCTGGGCAGGGACCCATTTTTTGTGACATGACTCTGTGTAGCGCTTTATTCCTTAGGGCTGATATTTTAGAAATGTGGGTCTCTTCTTTACTCCAAATTAACATTTAGGAATGAATGTGGTAATCTACATTCAGGTGAATGGGCTTGAATTCTGACTTACACAGTTGTCCCTTGGTTTCTAAGGGGGTTGGTTCTAGGACCCCTGTGGATGCCAAAATCCATGGCCTCTTATGTCCCTTATATAAAATGGTGCAGTATTATCATAGGACCTGCACACATCCTTCCACATTGAATCATCCATAGATGACATATACCTAAAAGTGTAAATGCCATGTAAATAGTTGCCATCTTGTATTGTTTGGGAATAATGGCAAGATAAAAATAGTCTATTCATGTTCCGCATGGATGCAATCCCCCCCCCCCCCCCCCCCCCATCCCCCGCCGAATGTTTCAGATCCATGGTTGGTTGAATCCACACATGTGGAACTCGTGGTTTGAAGGGCCAACTGTTTACTCTTAACACCAAAAGCCAACGGAGGAGGGTGGAATATATACATTTCTTTTAAAAAAATTTTTTTTAATTGAATTTTTGTATATTTCATACAGAAAACATCTTTATACCCCCTTCCTCTTTGGCACCTCCCATAACCCCCCACTGGAATTCATACATTCTGTCATTTATGTTAAGGCCTATCGTATAAAGCTAGTGTCCCAAGATGTCCCTTGGTGCAAGTTCATCCAATGGGATTTAGTCAGCCTATCTAGATTCTCCCCCTTTAAGAAGACCAGCTCTTCCTTACCCAGCAATAACTGGCTGCCAATAATTCTTCCACTAAGTTTGGGGCTTAGTATTCATTTCCACAGTTCTGCGCTGGGTTTTTGTCTGCTTAAGTCTGCATGGGTCTTATGCATGCTGACACCATTGTTGTAGGTTTGTATGAGGAGCCTGTAGGACTATTTCTGTAATGTCATACACGTCTCCCTGGCTCTTGCAATCTTTCTGCCCCCTCTTCCAAAACAGTCCTGAGCCCTGGGTAGGTGGATTTCAATGTAGGAGTACTATCCAAGGACTCACACTCTGAAGACTCTTATTCTCCACATTTTGGCCATTTGTGACCTTTTGGTTCCTGGCCCTCTGTTGTATGAGGGAGATTCATTGATGAGAGTTGAAAGAGTCATTAATGTTCTCTTCCTCCCTTGTTATATGTTCTGTGAGCCTCAGGTATAGAGGTTGTATCCTAGATGAGTTATGCACATTTCTTACTGCCAAGCCTTCTTTATGGTTAAGGAGCTGCAAGGCAGAAATGTGCTCATCTTTCTCATGGCCTGGAGGCCCTGGGTTTGGCTCTTGCAGGGATGCAGGAGGTTATGGGAGCATAGATGGGAGAACAGTCACTGTCCCCTGAATAGACAGGCCACTCCTGCAAAGACAGGAATGTCACTACAGTCATCTGATAGGCCAAGGACAGAGGGCCATGAGAAATGTTTTCCTGCTCTACCTTGTTGATTAGAAGGAGCTTATGAAACCCTTTCTTTCCTGTTGGCTCCCCTGTCTCAGTCATGGGCCACCTGTCAGAGGCTTATGTGAGAGGACCAGATTCATCACTTGGGTCTCAGTATAGATGAAGCAAAGGAGAGGAGAGGGCCAAAGATGGGAGGTCTTGCCTCCTAATGCTTCCACACCCAGTAAGCCAGGGCTGGAGAGGCGAGAGTGGGCTGGATGGTTAATCACATGTGACACTCTAAAGCCAGGGTTTTCTAGCTGTGGAAGTAATCCTGACCCCCACCCTGAAATTCTGTCTCTTTGCTTCATCAGAAAGTTATCATACATGGAAATAAATCTTTCCTACATTTGTAGCCAGTTTGACTAAAAAGGCACTCAACACTGTCTATTTGAAACCTGAGCAACACTGTGTAAGGTTTGGGTTGGGCTGACAGCTGGTGGGGGCACTATTTACATACACTCACCTTTGATTTGACTTGACACCCCCTGTACCTCTTTGTGATGAGTAGAGCAGGTATTACTTGCCTTAGTTTATGGGTAATGAATGTCAGGCCCTATGCTGGTTAGTTTTTGTTAACTTGACACCAACTAGAGTACCCTGGGAAGAGGGAACCTCAGCTGAGGAATTTCCTCCATCATAGTGGCCTATGGCCATGTCTGTGAGGCATTTTAATTGTTGATTGATGTAGGAGCACTAGGCCCACTGTGGGTGGTACCATCCCTAGGCAGGTGGGCCTGGGCTATATAAGAAAGGTAGCAAGTCCGTAAGCAGCATTCCTTTGTGGTCTGTGCTTCAGTTCTTGCCTCCAGGTTCCTGCCCTGAGTTTCTCCCTGACTTCTTCAAAGATGGGCTGTGCTTTGGAAGTGTAAGAAGAAATAAACCCTTCTACCCCTGCCCCAAGTTGTTCTTGGTCAGTGTTTTATCATAGCAACGGGAAACAAAACTAAGACAGGCTCAAGGGATAAAATACTTCTGAGTTTATCTAGGAAGTAAAGGATCAATACCATGTTTGATGGATTAGTTAAGTCAGCTTATATCTGTCAATAGAACAAAAAGGAGGAAAAGAAAGACAAATATTGGGCTGGATAGATGGCTCAGTGGTTAAGATCACCGGCTGCTTCTGCAGAGGACCAGATTGGATTTTCAGCACCCACATGGCAGCTAACAACCATCTGTAACCCCATTTCCAGGGGCTACAGATCCAATGCCCTCTTCTGAACTCTGTGGACACTGCATGACATAGGTGTACACACACACACACACACACACACACACACACACACACACACAGAGACACACACAAAACACACACATGCAAAACATTCATACACATAAAATAAAAATAAACAAAAAAGAATTAACAGCAATAATAAAAATACATTTTTTTTCACGACAAATTCCTAATGAATAGCACTGGTCTCAAAAAAGAATTTCAGCCTATGACATCCTGGTGCCCTGCCATCTTAACACCCAGGTGTCATTGGGTTATAAGCATCCTTTCTTGCCCAGGATCTGTATGCTCTCCCAGACTTGGCAGGCCGGAAATTGGAAACAACCTAGATGTCCATCAAAGACGAATGGATAATGAAAGTGTGGTACATAACAGACAATGGAATATCAATCAGTACTTAAATGAAATTATGAAATTCGCAGACTAATGCATCTCTCAACTCTCACTAGAGAAGTTTCCTTATGTAGCAGATGGTGATAAATACAGAAACCCACAGCTGACCAACACGCAGAGAACAAGGGGCTGCAGAATGCCTATTCCTGAATAGGACACCTGTATCAGACCTCTGCCTCCCAAGGCTCAGGGATCATTGCAGAAAAGGAGGTAGAAAGATTGTAAGAGCCAGAGGTGGTGGGTAACCACAAGGAAATAGAGTTTTTCAGACAGCTGATAAGAACTGTGTGCACTGGTTCAGCTAATAGAACCCTGTGTCCATATACCAGATTACACCTGTCAAAGAGGAAGAAGGACTCATATGAACTCACAGGAATGGTGACAGCATACACAAGTCCCATTTAAGCTCAAGCCGGACAAAATCCCAGCATTGACATGGGGAAGTGGGTAAGAAACCCCAGCTCAACCTGAGGAACTATTGGCAACTGATAGCTGTTGGGAGGTGAAGAATCAGTTTCTTTCAAGTAGGTTAACCAGGCTCCAGTGGATGGACCTACACTGAAGGACATTTGGGAACACAGATCAGACTCTATAGGCCTTATATATACAACAGAGTACATTAAATTGGGTGGAGGGCAATAAGGGGAGGTGCAGGTAGGGGAGGAGATCTAAATACCATCAAAATATATTGTATGAAAATCACAATACAGAACCCAAGGCATTCCTTCCACGCTTGAAGAGAGTAGCTGACCCAAGAGTCCTTCTTCCTCTTTGACAGGTATAATCTGGTGCATGGACATAGGGTTCCGTTTAGCTGAACCAGTGCACACACTTTTTAATCTCGGCATATTCTTTAGCTCCTCTCAGGAGACCCACAGAAGAATGTGATGGCTACTTTTGGTTGTCAGCTTGACTGGATCTGGAATCAACTAAAACACGAGCCACTGGACCCTCCTATGAGGGACTTTCTTGATCAGATTATTTGAAGTGGGAAGACCCACCTTAACTGTGGGCAAAACCTTCTGGTGCAGTCCAGATAAAAAGTCATTCAAGAAGCTTTTGCCTGCTGGCCTTCACTTTTGCTGGTAAGTCCATCTATCCTGTTGCTGAGGCATCCTCTCACTGTCATTAAATCTAGCTTCTTCAGGCTTTCAATATAGACTGAAGACCAGCATCTCTGCCAGAATCATCTAGGCCTTTAGTACAAGATTGGGACTGGTCTCATGGGTGGAGAAGCTACTCAGCCTCTCCAATGTGAGAGAGTCATTGTTGGACTACTTGAATCACATCCTTTAAACCAGTCTGATAAATCCTATGTATATATGTTCAGTTTATCAGTTCTGTTCCTTTAGAGACCCCTAACTAATACAAAGAAGTTAAAGGGAATAGCATCCTGTGGCATATCTGCCAAATTTCTGATCAGTTAAAGAAAACTTGCTAAAACCCAATAGGTAGTGCTAGCATCTTTCACCCAAAACCGGGGGCGGGGGGTGGGGGGATAGAATGGCTTGATCTGGCCAATTGAGAATGAGTCAGTACTGAATGAAGCAGCAGATTAGGGAGGTTAAATAAATCATGTCACTTTTCTCTGTCTGGTCCATTTTATTAGGTGTCACTTATGTGTACTCATTAAATATTTCCATGTGGTCATATGAAATCTGAACTCATAACTATTATAGTCAGAGGAATTTTGATTTTGTTTCAATTATTTTATTGAATTGCAGGTGTAATATACAAATCTCTCACAAAGTTAAAGCATGACTAACACCTACTCTGTCAACAACAACAACAAATCACCCATGGGCCACCTACTGTGAAAATCCAGGCTTGTCTCAGCTAGCAAGTGGATCTTACTGGCTCATTAATTAATTTCTGGTCTTGCTGGATACCCATGAGTCTTGAATGACATGGGCAAATCTCATTCTAGATTTAGATTTGCATAATCAGGAATGGAAGCAAACACTATTAGAAGCTCAGAGCTGAAGGCATTGTTGTAATTCGGACTGGCTTCCTATGGCCAATTGAGAATGAGTAAGGACTGAAGTAAAACAGAAGATTAGGGAGGCTAAATAAATCGTGTCACTTTTCTCTGTCTTCCTATGGTCAGATTAAGGACTCATATTTATGACAGGTGCAGTAAAATGACATGCTGTGAAGAATCTTGCGCAATGGGCTGATCATCTACCTCAAAACCCTAAAGGTCACTGGCTGATTAAAACAGGAACATGCATACATTTATACTTCTTTTCATACATAGAATTTAATATAAAGAAATAGATCTATTGGCTGTTACAAGCAGAGCCTTCCTGGGTACATTTCCATAAAGGAACCATCGAATTCTTTGGCTGTGAAACTAGATTTCATCATGCAAATATTATCTAGGAGGCTGACTTACCAAATTTTGGTGGAAGGAGGTGAACAGGGGCATTCTATGGCTTATACCATAGTATGAATGGAGGTTGATTGACACTTAACAAAGTAATAATTGAAACTCGGTAAAAATGTCTGTTGTCAGTATAGTAGGAAGTAGGTCCTAGACAGCTGAGGACAGTAGGTGGTACCTTCTGGAGTGCTGTTTAAGGTGTATTAAAATTTCCATTCAGTTTCCAAAAGGAAATGTTTTCATGTGGTATGTAAATCACTCCTAAACCCAAAATTTGTGATTCCAAGGTTTAATTGATTAGAGTTGAAAAGGTATCCTTAATATTGCCATAGAATTAATTACTCTCAGCCAGAATTGTCCTAGTGTGAGGTAATCTTTGTTTTCTTTGTTTGGTTTTAAAATATATTTTATTTTTATTTCATGTCTATGAGCATATTGGCTACATGTATGTAAGTGCACCCATGTCATACAATGTCTGAGAAGGTCAGAAGAGGGTGTCAGATCCCCTAGAACAGAGTTATTGACAGTAGTTAACTGCCATGTGGGTGCTGGGAATCTAGCCTGGGTGTTCTGGAAGAGCAGTCAGTGCTCTTAATTGCTGAGCAATCTCTTCTCTCCAACCTTTTGTTTGTTTTGTTTATTGAGACAAGGTCTCTGGTAACCCAGACTAGCTTCAAACTTAGCCTGTAGCAGAGGATGACCTTGCAAACTTAATCCTCCAGCTCCAAACCAAGTGCTGGGACAACAGATATGTCTCCTGCTTCCCCACCCCCCAAAAGGTATACTTGAAGCTAACATACATTTTTAATAAAATTGAAGGAAAATGCTTATTAGCCATAGCCCTCTAATCAGAGATGTTATTTAGGAGGAATGATTATATATGTCACTTTTTAAAAAACACAAGATAGGGGCTGGAGAGATGGCTCAGCAGTTAAGAGCACTGACTGCTCTTGCAGAGAACCCAGGTTCGATTCCCAGCACCCACATGGCGGCTACAAAATGTCCTTAACTCCAGTTCCAGGGGAATCTGAAAGCCCTCTTCTGACCTCCACAGACAACATGAGTGCACTCACATACATGCAGACAATACATTCATACACATAAGATAAAAGTAATAAATAAAATATTAAAAAGTGAAAGACTTTATTTAAAATAAAATAAACACAAGATAGGCCAGGTGTGGTGGCTCATGCCTTTAATCCCAGCACTCAGAGGCAGAGGCAGGTGGATCTCTCAAGGCCAGCCTGGTATACATAGTGAGTTCCAGGCCAGCTGGGGCTATAGAGAGACCCTGTCTCAAAAAGACCAAGTCAATAATAAATTAAAAAAATAAATAAATAAAATAAAATAAATAAAAAATAAGGCAAATTATCAAAAATATTTTTCAATATATATTTTTATTAAATTTTTGTGTTCAGAAGCATTTTATTGATTTTTTATTTTTAAAATATTTTTTATTAGTTTTATTTTATGTGTACACGTGTATTGCCTGCATGTATGTAAGTACACCCATGATGTGCAATGCCTTGGAGGTCAGAAGAGCGTATCAAATTCCCCTGGAACTGGAATTAAGAATGGTTCTTGGCTGCCATGTGGGTACTGGGAATCGAACCCGGGTCTTCTGCAAGAGCAGCCAGTGCTCTTAACTACTGAGCCATCTCTTCAGTCCCAATTTTATTTTTTATAACAAAATGAAATAAACAAGAATGTTCTGTGGTTGGCTATCTATACTGTTCCCAGGGACTTTAATTTATAGTAGTGACACGGTAGACATTGTGTGCTTTTTACACAGACAACGGTAAGACTGAGAGGCCTTTGTCTCACAGCAGGGAAAACCAGGCTCATCTGATTCCTTGTTCTCTCCCTCCCTCCTCCCCCCCTTTCTCCCCCTTCTCACCTCCTTCCCTTCCTTCCTTTTTTTTTTTAAATCAACATTGAACGTTTTTATTGAATTTTTGTGATTTTTTTCAAACAATGTAGTTTGATAGACTTTAGATCCCCTCCCCTTTACACACTTCCCCCCACTGCCCGCCGCTGAATATAATGTACTCATACATACACATATATAATATATATTTCTTTTTGTTTTTTTAATGTATTATTATTGTTATTGAGAGAGAGAGAGAGAGCGAGAGAGAGAGAGAGAATGAGAGAAAGAGAGAATGCAGGCACACATGTTCCACAGTGTACATGTAGAGGTCAGAGGGCAACTTTGGGGGTCAATTCTCCCTTTATACCATGGGTTCCAGGGACAGAAATATCAGGCTTGTGGGGCAAGTCCCTTGACCCACTGAAGTATCTCTCTGGCCCCTTTCTGTCTTTTTTTGAGATAAAATCTTATGTATCTCAAGGTGACCTCAAACTCACTATATAGTCAAGGGTGACCTTGAACTCCTGATCCTCCTGCTTCTATCTTCCAAGTGCTGGGATCACAGGCATGCGCTACACATCTAGCTTCTGTTTGATTCAAAACCCATGTTTTTTTTTTTGCTTAACTCTGCCTCTGTGATGTGTTTATTTAGAAAACACTCATAGAGTGTATAAAGAGGATTTCCAAAAATTTAACTCATTCTTTCTATGACTTTTATAGTAGAATACACCTATGTGTACTTATATAACACATATATACATGCCTACCTCTACACACATGGGATACATGAACAGATCTGCTGACTACTACAGACAGAGCTTCCTGGGTGCATTCCCATTATGGAACCTTCGACCTTCAAATTCTTAGGCCTTGAAACTGGATGTCATTTGGTAAATGTTATCCAGCGGTTTGACTCATCTTAATCAAATGAACTGATAAGACAGATGTTGCTTCCTCAATTTAGGTGTGAGTGGAGTGATGCAATTCACCAAGCTCCTTTTCTTGTAGTTGAGACTGTGGAAGTATACTGAGATCAGCTCTGTCAATCTGGGCTCCTGAATGACTATGATGAACTGACCTGTGTTGAATAGAAGAGGGAGAGACAACTAAGCTTCCAATTAGTATACAAAGAGGGTGGGGTTGTTTGTTACGTACATAACCTAGCCTATTCTGACTGATATGATAAACTGGTCACTCACACTTGGTGTGGTGGGTAATCTCATGTCCCAAGCATGTGGACAGAGGTATTTGAGTCCAAATAAGGTTTTCTATATAATCTATGTGAAAATCTCAATGATTTAACAAATCAGAATTTATTTGATATGTGCCGTTCTCACCACCTCCAGGGCACTGGTTCAGGCTAGCCTCACGCTGAATTACTGCAATAGTCTCCTTGAACTTTCTTCCCCATCTGACTTTGCCATCCCAGCCTTCCTGAATCCAATCCTGGGGTGCACCCTTTACAAAATGATATTTTAATTCACAATATATTGGGACAATCTTTCTATGTTAGTGAATTTGTTTTTATTTTGTTTTTGAGACAGGTTCCCCCTGTAGCCCTGGCTGGCCTGAAACTTTCTGTGTTGACCACGTTGGTCTTGATCTCACAGTGATCCACCTGCCTCTGCCTCCCAAAGTGCTATGGATTAAAGTTGTACATCACCATGCTCAGCTGAATTTGTTACTTTTCTAAAATAAATTCTTAAAACTTTTATTTATGTGTATGTGCATATGCCTGCTTTCCTGCATGTGTATGCAGTGCCCTTAAGGCCAGAAGATGGTGTCAGATTCCTTGGGGTTGGCATTAAAGGCAGCTCTGAGCTGCCTGATGTAGGTGCTGGGAACGGATCCTGAATCCCCCTGCAAGAGCAGCAAGTGCTCTTAACTGCTGGGCTCCTGAATTGGTTATTTTTCATTGAAGGATCAGGGATATTTGGAGAATCAGTGACAAGCATTTGTCCAGGTTCCTCCCTCTGAGTGGGAGGGTCTTGGTATTTTGCACCAAAGATAAGGGCAGGTGGCAACATGACATGTAGACAGGGAGAACAGAATGAACCACCTATGCTGGGGATATTTCCACCCAGTGGCGGAGCCCTGACAGACTGTAAAGTATCTTGACTTCTAACTCTGGGCATACAGTACATCTGAGGCTTAACCAGAGAACACCACTCTGGCTAACAGATTTCATTGTTCACTTGTTTAATAATAAGACTGGAGGCACATTCCTTAGAAGCCTGGAGGTATTAGAAGCTAAATTAAAAAATAATTGTTTGGATTGTTTAAAGAGAGTAGGAACTTACTATCCTAGTTTGCTTTTCTATTGCTGTGATAAACACCATGACCAATTTAGGGGGAGGAAAAGGTTTATTTCAGCTTACACTTCCAAGTCATAGACCATCATTGAAGGAAGTTAGGGCAGGAACTCAAGCAGGGAAGGAACTCAAGCAGAAACTGACGTAGAAACCATGGAGAAATGCTGCTTGCTGCCTTGCTCTCTGACTTCTGACTTAGCTAGTTTTCTTATACAGCCTAGGACCACTTGCCTAGGGATGGTACTGCCCACAGTGTACTGGGCTCGCCTACATAAATTTGCTATTAAGAAAATGCCCCACATATATGCCCACAAGCCGGTCTGATGGAGAAAATTCTTTATTGAGGTTCCCTCTTCTTAAGTGACTCTAGGCTGTGTCAGGTTGACAATAAAAACTAACCACTGCTCTAGCTGGATGTGAGATGACCCTGAAGACCCAGTGTGGCACTGTTGGAAGGTGATGGAAACTTTAAGAGATGGAGTCCAGTGGGAAATATTTTAGTCTTCATGTATGTCCTTGAATGACAGGATAACATGTCCCTGGCCCTTCCTTTCTTTATCACAGTAGCTTTGCTGTGCATGTGCTTCCACCATGATGTTCTGTCTCACCACATGGCTAGAGCAACAAGGTCAATCAACTATGGACTGAAACTTCTAAAACATATTAAAATAAAAACCTTTTTCCTTATGGCTATTTATCTCTGATACCTGTTTAGTGATGGAAGACTAACACACACCATTAAATTATTTTTCTTGTAAGTATTTAAAATAATAAAGACATTTAATTGGTATGTGTTGTTGTTGAGTGCTTACAGCTATGAACTGTGTAATCAAAGCTGACAAAGACAACCTTAAAATCACAGAAGAAAGCTCGTGCAGCATAGAACATGAAAAATAATACCCATAATTTCTAATTCAGAAAAATGAATGGCAGCATGATCCCATGCTGCCAGGGGTAAGCAGAGAGGCAAGACTCTGCCTGAGCAATGGGGTCACCAAAGCCAAGTGTGCCTGACCCCAGTCCGCCTTTCCTCTTCCTTGCATGGTGATAGGGCCTAGATGTGATCCTTTCAAATCAGGTGTGAAAAGCACCATGATCTGAATGTGTCCCCCAGTGTTCATGTGTTGAATGGAAACCTGATTGCCAATGAGGTCATGTTGGAGCATGGAGTCTCCTAGAAGGTTATGGGTGACAGCACTATGATGAGTGGATGCCAGCCTTATGGCAGCTGAGCTCCTTATAAAAGGACAACTTTGAGGCTGGAGAGAAAGTTCAGCAGTCAAGAGTGCTAACTACCTTTTCAGAGACCACAATTCAGTTCTCGGCCTCCACCTTGGGCAGCTCACAACCACATGCACTCGCACATGTGTACACACACGTATAATTAAAAATAATTATTTTTTTAAAAAAGGACAATGTCCACCTTCCACCTCTTTTCCTCTCTTTGCCCTTCTGCTATGGGATGACATAGCCACAAGGCCCTTTCTAGATGGATGCTGGTCCTTTGACCTTAGATTTCTGAGGCCAGAAGGCACAAGGCACTAAGTCTGTTCATTATAAGTTACACAGTGTCTGATATTTTGTTATAGCAGCACACACGTGGGTAAGGCAATAGTTGTCATGTTAATCATGTTTCCCATCTTATCTTCTTATTCACCTTACAAAATGTCGGTGTTGTTTGCCAAATGAACATGTTGTCTAACTCCCTCTAAATATGTTTCCATCCATTAGTGTGTCTCTCAATTTTGATCAGAGAAACTTCTGTTTGCAGTGGGCAAAGATTAATGCAAAGACTCAACTGGTCAAAATGCTGAGAAAAAGTGACTGTTACACGCTCAGTCCAAATAAGACATCTATATCATATACCCCGTCTGCAAGGCTCAGGGGACACTGTGGACGAGGGGACCAAAAGAATGAAGTGGAGGAGGGGGGAGTATGGTGAAAGCTGTCTTCTGGACTGGACTCGATGGGACCTCAGCCCTCATGAACTCACAGCAGCTGTTATTACCTGCATAAAAGACCAGCACAGGATGGAGCTCATCAAAATTCTAGAATGTCTGGGGAGAGACTCATAAGGCCACACCCCTAGTGGAGGAGTTATTGGCAGTTAATGGCTGCTGAAGGAGAGGGAGTCATTTTTCTGGTTAATAACCCCACACCCATGCTCATGAAAGCACCCCTAATTCAACTCAGTGGGCCATAAAAAGTAACAGACGTAAAAGTGGGAGAAGGAAATCAGGAAGAAGAGGTTCAGAGGGGGTGAAGATCAGATTGTTAGATACATGTGTGACGTTATTAAAGAATAAATAAAAATATTTGATTAAAAGCTGTCAGCCTGGCATGGTGGTACATGTCTCAGCACTCCAGAGACAGAGGCAGGAAAATTTCACAAGTTCAAAGCCACCCTGGTCTACATAGTGAGTTCTAGCCTGGCCAAGGCTATGTTGTGAGACCCCATCTTTAACAACAGCAACAACAACCAAAACTAAAAATCTACCCAAAACGGTAACAGGAACACAGCATGAATGGGTATAGCCAGAGGAGCTATAATCTCCACGGTTACTTCTACTTCTGTGAGCCCATCAAAAAGTCCAAGGAAGGTGGGTTGATCAGTGGGTTGGAGCTGCATTTAGACAGGAATGGGAAGCCCTGGTGTGTTGTTGCATTCAGTGACTAGAGATAACAGTGGACTATAACATCTCTCAGAAAATGAGAAGAAAGGTTTTTGAATGTTTCCATTATAAAGAAAAGGGCAGAAGGCTTAGCAAGTGAATTAGAACTCCGGCACCATGAAATTTTTTTTTAAAAAAGAAATGTTTGAGGAGGTACATATGTTTACCTTGATAAATGTTACAAAGTATGTATAGATATTGAAACATCATCTGGGCCCATAAACATGTATCGTTTTTTATGTTTTAACAAATCATTTAGAAAATGGAAAAACAAAATAAAAAAAAATAAAGCAAACTAGAGAACATGTTTTTGCTCTTTCTAATGTGGAGTGCCAGTCTCCACTTCGACAGTGGCCCTTGAAAGAGCAGGCTTCAAGGAGGGAACAGACTGGAATGTCTCAAAGCCTCTCGAAGCTGTGGGCCTTGTCCAAAGAGGAAAAGTACCTACTGTTTGTCAGTTTGTTAGAACTGAGTGCTCACCAGAGCATGTCTCTCCTGTTTGGAAGTGCTCCCAAAAGGATGCGCTCAAATCCATGAGCCACATGTAATATCAAGTGTTTCATCTGAAAGTGAGAGCTGGAAACAAGTGTGGGGTGGGGGAGGGAGATAGAGAGAGAGAGAGACAGAGAGAGAGAGAGAGAGAGAGAAAGGAGAGATGAGAGAAGAGGGGGGATGAGAGGGAGGGAGAGAGGGAAGAGAGGGAGGAGAGGGAAAGGGGGGAGACAGGGAGACAGAGGGGAGAGAGAGGAGGGGATGAGGGAGGGAGAGAAAGAGGAGAGAGAGAGGAGGGGGACAGCAAGAAAGAGGAGAGGGGGATGAGAGGAAGAGAGAAGAGGAGGAGGAAAGAGAAGAGGAAGGAGAGAGAGGAGGGAAAGAGAAAGAGAGTGAAAAAAACAATTTTCTTCCATCTTCTTGAACTACAACATTGAACAAAGAATTCCAGAATGATGGTAGGAACTTCCTGTCTTCTGGTACAGCAGAGTACTGTAAAATCAGAGATTGCTTTAGACACAAATCATATGAAAACGTGAAAGAAAAAATTTACTTTTGAGCAAAGCAAAAGAAGAGAAAGATTGGCTTGTGGCAGAAGGGGGTTTGTTTCAGAGGGTAGGGACCCTTGTCCAAGGAGTTCTGAGAAAGCTCCAGTCTTGTGAGGGCTCTCGGGTTTATCAGTTGCTATGGAAACTATTAATCTCATCGCTGAAGGTCTAAGTGACTTGTGATAAAGAATGCTCATTGGGATGCTTTTCGCCCATGCTTCCTCCTACACGGGACTCGGCCCTCATAGCTGGAGTGCCTTCTGCTGCTGGGGGGCACAGGTGCTGTGAACTTCTGGCCAACCCACAAATTAATCCAAGTGCTCAGGATTGTTGCTGGGAAACTCTAGCAGGCAAAGAATTCAAGCAGGTCTAAGACAAGTTAGTGTAAATGTTGGCACAGCACGGCTCACCTGTTGTGTGATTAAGTCATGGGCTGCTGCTTGTTGTCCTTGGGATGAAGCCAGGCAGCATTTGTTCAAGAGAAAAATAAGGCCCTGTGTGCAGTGTGGCTGTATCAATCGTCACGGGCAAACAGATTCCAGTGGTAGAAAAGAATGGAAAGTGGGCGGTGGGGACAATGCTACGGCTGTGTTGAAAGGCATCTCAGTCAAGGATGGGTTGGTGGCAAGAAACAAAAACCTCCTCAGCCTAAGTAAAGTGGGATCTGTTGATGGTGTCAGGGGAGTCTCAGGAAGCCAACCAAAGGCAGGCCGGTCTGACATCATGGGAACCGGAGGCCTTCCCCGGCATCCTGACTCTGCTCTCACCTCTGGGCATGTCAGCTTCATTCCTCTTTCTTCGTCTTTCTAGGCAGACTGCATTTTTCCAAGACCTCTCTCCTATCACTTGAGCTTATGCGTAGATTGAGGTTGCCATGGTACCCCAGATTCCTCCAACTCAACACCATCTCAGGATACTCCGCAGCAATGTTCTCAATATTCTCCTGTGTGGCACTCAACACTCCCCAGCAAGTACATACAACAGTCCCCAGGAAAGCACCCAATACTCCCCAGTAAGGTCCTGGATACTTTTCAGCAAGGTACTCAATAATCTCCACTGAGACACCCAATGTTTCCAGCAAGGTGCCCAGTACTCTCCAATATAGTTCCCAATACCCTTCAACAAAGCACCCAACACTCACCAGAAAGGCATCTGATACTCTCTGGTAAGGTACTGAATACTCCCTAGCAAGCCACCTGATACTGTCACCCAATTCTGTAGTGAGGAACCTTTCAGGAATTCTTTAAATTTTTACCACATTTATTTGTGTGTGTGTGTGTGTGTGTGTGTGTGTGTGTGTGAGAGAGAGAGAGAGAGAGAGAGAGAGAGAGAAAGATTGAGAGAGAGATCACATGCCCGAGCATAAATGTAGAAGTCAGAGGACAATTTGGGGGAGTCAGTTCTCTTCTACCATGAGCGCCCTGGGGATCAAATTCAGGTCATCGGGTCTGACAGCAATGGCCTTTACCTGCTGAACCATCTTGTTGGCCCTCTTTCAGGAATCCTTAAGATAGGTGTCCCCACAAACTGGGTATGGTGGTGCACATCTTAATTCTAGCACTCTAGAGGCAGAGGAGGACAGAGCTCTGTGAGACAAAGGCCAGCCTGGTCTACATATCAAGTTCCAGACCAGCTAGCACTACAAGGAGACCGTTTCTCAAAACAAACAAAAAAACCAAACAAACTAAACCAAAACAACAACAAAAAGACAGGCATCCATTTGCTTCTAATCACCTAGAGCCAGAGAATGTGATCAGAGAGTGAGCGTCCCTTCTCTGACTGAACATCCAGAGGGTAGGGTCTCTGAGAACAGGGAAGGTAGAGGTCAACATGGTAGAGGCAGGGAATGACAGGCATTTGTAGGATGAAAGCTTGACAGGAGTGTTGCTAATTTGGCTGGAGTAGACTCTGGAATGAACGATGTTATAAATGAGATCTGTCTGTACCAACTTGAGGCTGATGAAGGATCCTGGAAGTGGTTTTGAGGAGTAACAGTGTTGCCAGGAGAGAGGTAAAGGGCTGGTTGATCTGTAAAAACACTGAGTAACTGAAGAGCCAGGTGAGATCAGAAGTTTGAAGGTTACTAGAGGGCAGAGATGCTCCTGTGGGGACATGGTCCTTGGGCAGGTTGTAATTAGATGAGGGAGCAGGGGCTGGGTTAGGTTTGGATGAAATCTCCTTGCAGCCAAACTGAGTATGATGTGAAACACTTTGAGAAGTTTATTCACTCCATGGCGGCAGGAGAGAGCCAGGCAATATGCTCATAAAGAGCACTGCTACGCAAAGAAAAGGCCAACCACATTCATCACTGCTACTGAATGGTGGGGAGGAGGAGAAGAAGACATGGAGGCTGGAGGAAAGTGATCAAGGGGTCTGCATCATGGGACGTTGGCTCATAGTTCAGAGGACAAGGAGGGCGAGGGTATAGCTGAAGGAGGTGAAGGAGAGGCTGGGAGCCAGATAGGAGCCAGATGGGACCATGCCTGGCTTGTTATGTGGGTGCTTGGACCCAAAGTCCGGTCTTAATGTTTGTACAGCAAGTACTCTTAATCAGCCCAAGAGATTGTTTTGCTTTCAGACTGGTCTAGTGAGCATTATAGTTATTATAATATGTTACTGAGCTTCAGTTATATCGTACTCTTCTGACCAAGGTCCTTTACTATTGATTGGTTTTATGGCAAAAGCTCTGTGACTGGATTCGGCTTTATTTTTTTTCATTCAAAATTTTCATGCTGAATGGTGGTGCAGTTCTAAAAACAGCTGAAACTACTGCTCATGTAACTGTGATATGGATTCTACTATTTAGTCTCAGAACTAAATGCAAAGTGTAAGTCATTATTATATGTTATTAATATATAAGTTAATAGTATTATTATATATAGTTATCCTAATAACTATAGTCTGTGTATGGATTTGATAAGATTTGTGGAATTTCTTTATCTCTTAAAATTTTTCTTTTGATGGACAAGTAAGAATGTTTGGATGTCTGCTTTTCAAAAATGTCCAAGTTGCAAATGTCACACACCTGTCAGCCATGAATGGGCTTTTCTTTCACAAGCAGTTGTGGTGTCATTGTACATAGCCTGGGTTCTTCCAACACACTCTGAGCGCTGAGGGAGCAGTCATTACAGCAAGACCTGCCCCTCCCCTATCTGCTCCAAGAGCCTGGTCTATGTAAGCAAATGTGGAATGTTTTGAAAGTCATGAAGGGTTACGATACAGATGGTGGTGGGGATATGACACTAGCTACCCCACATCAGACATCATAAGGTAGGCAAGACATTAGTTCTCACCAGTTCAAGTCTCTTGCCTGTGACAGAGTGGGCTCTTTCCATGTGAGGTGCCAGGGAGCTATGCCCACCTCAGCAAGACCCTTGTGATTTACAGTCCTATAAAATATGAGCTTGCATTCCAGAAGGGCAGAGGGGACACATGTCACTTACCACCCTGTTGTGTTCACAGTCTGCTATCCGACTCTTAACCAATGCAAACCCACTTCTTCTCCCAGTGTTACTTGGGGGAAAGTTGCAGCTACCTCACGCTCTCGCTGTCTTCCTTTTGGGCCTTGCTCTGCTCCTTGTGTGACAGTAAAGACCCTCGAGGGGAGCCACAACCTTGACATTAGAATTTCAGCTCAAGTT